TTCGTTTATATATACGAGCATCTGGCAAACATTTTTTAAGTATTGTCTGCATCGTATCTTACGGTTCTCTTCCCGACCGCACGATGCAGAGTGAGTCTTTGGAAAATTGTCGTTTGTTTTCACTTACGTTTGTGCGCTACCTCATTTCTTTCTGTCCGCCCGTGACGAAGTGTATTTTACTCCGTAGTCATATATACAAAACGCAGCGACTACTATTCACACTTGGATTACCCGAAACGGTATTACATCAGCCGTGGCGTGAGTGTACCAGACGACATTATCCCTGCTCGCATGAGCTAGAGATTGGTTGTATTATATATATATATATATATATATATAAATATATATATATATATATATAATATATACATACATATTGCGAGGTTGTAGCCTCTAGTACTCTTCCGTTTTACATTGCTTTCTCTCTCAAGCGTGCTGATATTTTTCTTGCTGCGTTCTCCCACGTCTCGCCGATCGGGAGGATCGATCAACCCTAAGCTGTGTATCAATTATGTGGATGTAGGTGGGAGAACGAGAGAATTCATGTACTCCTACCTGCTGCGATCCGATGGACCCGATGATAAATATTGAACACTTTTAGTATATTGCTCAAACGCACTGTTTCACCCATTCGGTCCGAGCACCGGGACAGACGTCTCGCACGTGGCTTTCGGCGATGCGATGTCCTCGTCCGGGCATCCTGAGTTGTTGTTTAAACTGCTAGCGCTACTGCCTAAAGTACAATTGACCATTGTGAGCTGCGTGCCTTCTAAATCTTGCTCCTCCTCATCCTCCCGCTGATTATCCGAGGCAGAACTGCCTCTCCTTTTGTACTGCAACGTGTCAAGAAAAGTCCGCAATTAATAACCGGTTGTTGCACAATGAATCAATGATGCTGTGGTCATTTACAAGATGAGCAAATAAAGTCCTCTCTAGTTGAGTTTTAAACTCTTAGCTATACCTGAGGATTTTCCATGATGTGAACATCCTTCGAGTCTCCGTTTACCTCCCACGGCGACAACAGAGGTTCTCGAACACAACTCTCGAAGACTCCATTGGATTGTGCACCCTGTATACAGCATATTGCAAACATTGCACATTTAACTGCGCATTTTGAGGATATTTAATCAAAGACCCAGATTTTTATTCGCTTACTTTCGCATCGGAATGCGGATTAGTCTCGATCGGAGATGATGGACACAGCACAGCCAATTCGATCTCGTTCGACGCGCCACCAGTAGCATTCACCTGTTGGCTCGCGGACGCGGAGGATTGCTCGACGCAGCAACCGTTTCCGTTTCGCGGTAGTACGCGCCCGTTCGTAGGTTGAACGTCGTTGCGAAACGAACGGGAATTTTCATACTTACGCCGACAATATATACTACACAGGCATATCATGATGAAACCGATGCTTATGCCCACTCCGAGGACCACACCTACTTTCACGGATGTGACAAAATTATGTAGTGAATTGTCAAGTTTAATTCTTACTAAATCGAACTGTACTGAAAGTACAAAACAAGTCGTGCAAGGGGAAAAGATTATTCTTTAACACTTCTTATCAAAAGATTATTCTTTGCACTTTGAGCTTTCCTCTGGTTAGAGTATTATATTGGTGATTACAAATTAGATCCTTTCCCTTGTGGAAAGTTACGATTAATCTCTTGCACCAACTTAGCAGCAATTCAATCTCCTGTTTATCTTACCTAAACTCTGATCGGGACTGATATTTTGCGAGGGTTCCTTCTTGTCAGATGAAGTGGGCCTCGACGCGCCGCCGCCGGTGATAATGATAATAGGGTCCGACGGTTTGCCGTAGCCGGCTTTCGTAGACGCTTGTACCACAACGAAGTAACGTTTCCCCGGCGCCAGACCCGGCAGAGTCGTTGACGTTTTGTCGCCGGGCACAGTCACGTTATCCCACGTCACCGTTGCCTCCGTCAGATCCATGGTGTACGCGACGAAGTAATTCTGTATTACTCCGTTCACGTTACTCGGCTCTTTCCACGCGATTCGTACTTTAGTATTGTTACCCAAGAACCATTCCACCTTCTCCACTTTACCGGGAACTGAAATGTTCGTTTATGAGCGATACATACAAGAGAGACCGGACGTTATGATTATTTCATTAACAAAGAGATTGCTCTTCATGCGTCTCACCATCTTCGCTCGTATAACACTCTATAGACTCGCTATAGAGACTGGTTTGATTCGTGTTGTGTCTGATAGACCGCACTTTGAACTGATACAACGTAAAAGGCTTCAGCTTATCAACGCTTGCCTTCGTATCGTCTCTGTAAAATATATAAATCTAATATATCTAATATAATAAATCCACACACACGCACACGCACGCACGCACGCACGCACGCACGCACGCGCGCGAAGAAATAATGTATATACGATACAAATTTATTTGAAAATGTCTACTCTCTAATGTTTTGTGAATATTCGATGCATATAATTACGTTTGCGATTAAAGTGTACTCACATGATAAAACACTTGGAACTGTCGGAATTTTGTATGTGCACCGCGTGATAACAAAGCTCGAACGAATCTACAGTATGTGTATCCAACAACGTCCACGTTACATTAATAGACGTGGGTGAGACGGGAACAGCCTCCAAAGCCATTGGTATATCATCTAAACGACGAGTTAGTCACAAGTCGTAAAGCATACATGTTTAATGTCCATTAAATAAAAAAAAATGTGATTGCATATTACGTGCAAGAACCTGGAGAACTCACCGGGATCGAATAGTGTGGTCTCTATGTGTCTTGTTAAGCAACCTGTTGCTCGACCCGAGCTTACCATACACAGACCCATGGTATAGGAAACATTCATATCTAGAAGCATAAAAATAGTTGTTTCCATTTTACACAACACAATATTTTCAATTCAAAGGATATCGATACAGAACACCTACCCAGATTAGTGAACAGATATTCGGTGATATTCTGCGGTAACAGAATAGTCTTCAACTTTTCACCGTTTTGATTTTCGCAGTAAATCTGCCAAGAATCGAAATCTGATTCGTTTTGCTTGAAGTTTATCTTCCATTTCATCTAGTGGAAAAAGTACATTTGAAAAGGCAAAATGATACAATATACACTCAATATTCGACTGATGAGTATTATATTGTCTTGTGCACTTGTACTAACCTTGACTAACGAAGCGTTTACTATCAATATTTGTATATCCACGACGTTCCTTATAGTAAATTGATTGGTTTCAGGCAATGGCATGGTCACGGTCATCCATTCGAATTGCGTCTCACTAATGTTTGGCCAGCCCTGCTTTGTTCTTGCCAACACTCGTAGATCATATTGTGCTCCAGGTATCAGGTCTGTAATGTATAACAATATGCGATCATATGACATTGGGTTCAAGCGCGAGGTCAAAGAGCATAGGGAAAACAACTGATGTGATGTACCAGAAAGTATGTGGTATTCGATAGCAGCAGGTAAGTGGAGTACTCTGGAAGATGGATGTTGGTGAAGTTTCCATTGAAGTTTATATTCTACCACAATGCCACGAGATTCCCTCTTACTCAAAGGCTCCCATGATACATTTAACTTTGTACTACTGATTATATCCACATTTATTTTTGGTGCACCTTTAGGAACTGCAGTAGAATCGATCAATTTAGCATAAAGTGGCGTTTCGTTATACCTTGCAGTTAATACAGAAAAATAGAATTATTACGGATGGAATTAAGTATGCGTACCACTTGGAGCGGTGGAACACAGAATGGTAGCCGATTGATCGCTAGCACCATAATTGTTCCACACTCGTATGTAAAACGAGTAATTTGTAAACGGTTCGAGAAGCTTTGTTACTTCTACGGATGTAGAATTTCCTGGTTCCGGTGGAGAAACTTCCTCCTTGCCACCCTCTGTTATCGAAAATACGTAATCAGATATGTCGAGTACACAAAATGTATGACGAAGTTACATACGACGAATCTCGGTTCTTTTAGACTGGTGTGAAAAATTAGTAAAAAAATTATTTTCTTTTTTCTCTCTAAACTGTGACTCGAAGTCACTGACTCGAACATTAAAACGGAGATGGAAAAAGACTCGTTGCACATATGGAAGAGCACGGAGACTGATGTTACTCATTTCACTTGTAAAAATTCAAGAATAACTCTCTGGGACTGGACAATTTCGTTTTCGAGAAATTTTATTCGAGAAATACAACAAATTTCTTTTTTTTTGCACCAGGCCGACACTATACTTATATTCTGGGATATATAATATTCAACTCACCTACAGGACTATAATGGACGGTATAAGCTGTAATACTGGTGTATGGTAGAGACTTTGGTGGTTCCCAAGAAATTAAAATTCTAACTGGTGAAACGGCATGACATTTTAGAGAAGTGGGCGCAGCGGGACTATTGCGCGACGTATTCACTTGGAGCCGGCCAGCGGCCCAAATTTCACCCGCTGAATTCACTGCTACACACTGGTATATGCCAGTATCATTCGGTACTGTTGCCGATATTGCTAGTTCTATTTTATTGTATTCCTTAATATAAGTCGTTCTGCGACCTGTCGATGCATTACAGAATGCGTTATAGACAAATCTTCCTAAGAATTGCGCGGCTAGTCTAATAATTTATTAATTATATTTAATAGCGATAAAGCGGTGACAGGCATAAAAGTATAATTTTTCTTGCGGGATCGACCGTTACCATTGATAGTAATATTTGACGAGTCTTTCAGCCAATAAATTTGAGGTACCGGTAATCCTTGCGCCTGACACTCAAACCTCGCTGTCCTCCCATTCGGACAAATTTGGTTCGTTGGCGTTTTCACGAACGACGGCGGTATTAATATGTCTACGGTTATATTCTGTAACGATTTAAGCAAGTATATCCGATAGATCCTCCTAAGTTAAATATTTTCAGTCTCTATTTCTGGTTTGGTTGGTCTGCGACATCAACTGAGCACCCACCTGTACTTCTAAGTCATTGGTGATTGAATTCTTCGAAGAACACAAGTAGACACCGGCATTGGAAATGTTCACATTTGTTAGCGACAGTACGCCAATGCCGGTGGTGGAATTGAGGAGAATGCGAGGTTGCGTAACATTATCTGAGAATGAACACGTGGTCGGGTGAATAAACATTTTCCGTCTGATTCGACGTGTGTGCATCTTACGTTACTAAACTACTTACCTATGTAACGAGGAATAAACGACCATGTTATGAGCGGCAATGGATAACCAGATGCGGCGCATACTAAATTCAGACTCGACCCGTTAAGCAGCCAATGATTGTACGATAATTGCGGAAACAAAGACGACGAAGTATGCGATTTGTTGCTCTCTGCTCTCGAGGTAACCGTTAATTTTGCTTCTCTGCTCTTTTTCGTCTTCTTTAAAAATTCATTAGTGACTATGCACCTGGCAAGAATTTTTATTATTTAATTAACAGGGGAACAAACATGTAACATCGATGATAAAAGAAAAAAAAGAAAAAAAAAAGTGAAACATCCCATTAGTGTATTATTATCTCTATGTTATGTGGAAATTAATAACAATCATTGTACCTATATGAGCCAGCATCTGACAGTTTCGTTGCACTTATATACAGAACACCTGGTGGTACCACGGAATACTTTGATTCATTATGATAAGACAACAATGTTTCATTATGTTGCCATGTAATATCGGGTGGGAAAGGAACACTGTCTATCAAACAAGAAAATCTTGCAACTTCGCCTTCTCGAACAGTAATATTTTCAGGCGATTCTTTAAATACATGGGCAAGTTCTGCAACGTAACATACAACTGTTGTGGAAGCACAATTCTCCAGAAACCCCCAGAAACAAAGTTGCTTTACACTTGCGTGTACCAAGAGTCGCAATTACCTGCTATCTGAATATATGTAGGAGCTGACCGTATCAATTCTCCTAAACTATTCTTCGCTACACAGCGATACTCATCTTTATTATGATTTTTAGCATTAACAATGCTATTCCTTTCCTTCTCTTTGAACTTTTGCATTTGTAAATTTTGTTTCTGCAACACAATGTATTCATGTGACAGGAATTCATGTGATCCTACATATGTCAGACTTATGACTACACAATGTAATACATGATACGATTTTACAATATTAAATTAAAATATTATATGATATAATAAATTGTGACACCTCTATCTGTAGATGTTGTACATGTACCTTGTGAAAGTGAAGAGAGCCATTCTTAAGAAGAACACAGCGAGTAAGACCACACGGAGGTGCTTGTATTCCATTATGAAGCCAGGTTATATTTTCGTTGGAACCAGCAATGCAGGTAAGCGTGATCCCCTTCTTCCCTAGTATCACATGGCCACCAGGTTGAATTTCCAATGTAACTCCAGAGCCTTTGGTCAGACCGACGTCGGAGATATCTGATTTGGATACGTTTCTACCGCCAAAGTTTCCTCCGATACCTTTAACACCTGCCGAACGAGCAGTTGACAAGTTACAACTTCCTCACCGGACTGAGATTCGACGAATTATATCAGATATGGCAAGGGCAAGACAATAGGCATAGAGTCAACGTTTCCTCCTCGGTGATCCGGCATCGTATCGACGCGCATGTCGTCGAATCGCGATACTTATCCTCCTTGACGGCGAGAAGAAAAACTCTTTTCTCCCCCTCGGAAACGTCGACGACGCCTGGGCTCATGTATGCATACAAGCAGTACGTCGTCGTACGTTCCGGAGCACACAATCATCACCGGTCCGATCCATCTTGTTATGTTATAAGGACCACATGATAATAAACAAACTAAAGGACGAAGAGAATCGTGGCACCAAGACGACACGACGAGTGTCGTCTGATCTGGCGCGTTTACGCACCTGCAGCACAAGCGGGTTTCAACACTTCTGTGATCAAGATGCTCAGCAAGAGTACTCGCGCCGCCATATATCCGTGGTCATCGGCGGCCGCGCACCGGTGCGTGTGTGGCGCGTTTTGTGTGTGTGTGTGTGTGTGTGTGTGAGATGTGTGTCACTTGTGTGATACGTGCGCGCACGTGAGTGTATGCTTTCACTGGCAGCAAAACACAGCCGTGACGCGCCGTCGCCAATTCTCCGTTGTCGTTGTCGTCTTTCTCGATCTCCTCGACGTTTTTGTCGTCCTCGTCGTCCACGTTGTTCTTATCGTTTTCGATATCGTCGTCGTCGTCGTCGCCGTTGCGGTCGAGCTGCTCACGCAGGAAATTCGTCGCTGCATGTTTGACATCGGCTGCCTCGTCGCAGCCGAGAAGAACAGTTCTTCCGCCGTCACCGGCCGTTCCGTTCGCCGAGCTCAAGCAGTGCCTCCCCTCCCCTCGCTGCCTTACCCCCGGATTTCTTACCGTGTGCCAGCCGCCCCTCGCGCTCGCGCGGTTTTCCCTTGCCTCTGTGTGTATGCTTACATCGCCGACCGGCGCGGTGAACGAGCGATTGAGTGCGCGTCACCGAGTCGAACGTGACGAGATGTAACCGCCGGCATGCACGAACACACACGCACACGCGCACACACGCACGCACGCACGCACGCACGCACGTACGCACGTACGCACGCACGCACGCACGTACGCACGCACGCACGCACGCACGCACGCACGTACGCACGCGCGTACGTACGTACTCACGCACTCACGAAAGCATGAAAATTACAACCGGATCGGGAGTAAATGTGAGAAAATACACGTAAAACGGTCGCAATCAACCACCGTTACTATATGACTCGAGATGTTCCGCAGCGTGCACGATGTTGCGTGCAAGAAGCTATCGTTACGCGTTCTGCCCTAGCACACACGCGCGATTCCTTCGTTCCTGCACGTCTCGTTGCTGCCGTTGTCGGACTCGGACCAGTTTGGCTAGTGCTGGCTTGGAGCGCCTCCTGGGCTTACGAGAGAGAGAGAGAGAAGAGAGAGAGAGAGATCCGAGGCTGGACGTAAACCCGTTGTCGATAACCGCGCTCACGCGTTAAGAGTTAGGGTGGATTACATTTGAGACCGTGAGATAAGAAAGGTGTTCGATAGATCTATTTTGTAATTTTTAACGACAATTAGTCATTACATTTGCGTCATTGCGCAAATATAATATACGACAGAAAAAATACATGATAACAACTGATAAGAATAACGACATTGTTGTTGAAAATTACAGCATAGATTTTACAGAAATATAAATCCGAGTATTGAAAATAGTCAGTTGTTTATTAGAGAGAATTAAAAAATACTGGATAAAAGATTAAGCGTCCAAATATTTAATTACATCAATTACATAGTAATCAATGACTCAAATCCGAGTCGTTAATTGTCTTGAGATCCTTCAAAATCAAGGGAGATATGACAATGTCGTTGCTCTTTAATTGTCTGTGATACGAAGATAAATGTAGGAATCTTTGTTACCTACTCGTGGTACAGTTGGTATTGTAAAATATTGAGGTTATCGACTATCCTTAATCTTCAGGTATCTTCTGCCATGAACACCAGAACGGTTAACCTCCATTGCGCGTTATAATTTTGCACTATTATTCAGGTAGATTATTTCGTAGATTTCGTAGACGTGTATATATAAATTTATCGTTGATCAACGTTATTTATTATCCATTATCTCTACATGAATGACATTTCAGGTCATATCATATCATATATATATATATATACATTGAACTGCCGGAAACGCTAATTAGTATTCCGATGGTTTTCCATTAACCCGAGACTTTCCGCGATTGTTACGTAAATGTGAGAGACGCAACTGAATGAACGAGTCCTCATCATTGACGAATTCTCAGCTCTGTAATAATAAGAGAATCTTGAAACGACTGAGTCGTATCTCATGCATATGCGGCGGATTTTCCCGTCGTTTCTCTGCCGAGACTTACATACACACGCATAAAATTTATTTATTTGTTGACTATGACGATCGCGTGCTAGAGAAATCGTACATGCCACGACGCGCGATCATTTTGCTCTCGATGGTTGTTTTGTAGAAACAAGCGTAGCATAAATCACCATGTGTCATGCGTATCGACAGCAACGACACGACGACAAAGACGACAGATCGCTCGATCGAAGAATTGACGCCAGAACCGGTTTACATCCGACAATTTTCCGGAGGCGCCTTCATTAGCGACGTTGCTTTCTCTGACGGAGAAAGTTCTCGTGGCCAAGGGTTGTTACTATCGATCTCGGCGGTCGAAGGGTTTCAACGTTCGCGGAGCGATTTTTGAAGAAATGAATTGAAGAAAATGAATAGATGGATAAATAGATAGATAGATAGATTAGATGAAAAAATAGAGAGAGAGAGAGAGGGAGAGAGAGAGAGAGAGAGAGAGAGAGAGAGAGAGAGAGAGAGCAGAATGGATATCTGCGAGAATCAAGATCTTCTTCAATTTATTCGTTGCGCGCCTTTACATCTCCTTTCTTGTCTGTGAATGAAAAAAAGTTTCATCATTTCTTTCGTAATTTTGGACTTTAGTTTTTAGTTGTTTTAAACTTTAGTTGTCCATATTAATATACTCGGTGCTTAAAGTTTTAAGTTTTAAGTTTCACAGCTAGTATTATAATATATGCTTATTGATCGTCATGTGTGTGTATGTGTGTGTGTGTGTGTATGTGTGTATGTGTGTTGTCATCACGACTATTAGATTACCGAAATTTCAACATAGAGTTACAGCCTAGGCACACAGAGAAAAACTCAAACAATAAGGAAATTGGACTAATCAGAGTCGATTATTCTTCTTATAGATCAGAAATATCCAACTGTAATTGGTTAATTTGCTAACTGTTTACGTCTTACTGCTTAATTTTTTCTGTATGTCCGGGTCTTTAGGTGTGAATTTTTCAGTTCATCGCATACTATGTTATAAATATAATGTCACCGATTACATCAAATTGGATGAATTTGTTAACAGAAGGAACTTCTTTGATATTATATATATATATATATATATATATATATATAATATCAAAGTAGAGCATTATTTTACAAGGGCAACATACAGTTCATTAGTCATTATCGCAAGTGAGACTACTCCTCTAATGTGGAGCAACATGGTTCGATGCAAATGATGATATGTCTCTAGACGTACCTGTGTTGCAACGAGTACAAATAACTATACGCATCCGTCGTTTTCGAGGAACAAATAGCCGCAATTTTGCGATCATCTACAATGACATGTCCGGTTCAATGAAAGGGGCGCGGGACGGCCGCTGTTCGTCCCGCGCCCCTTTCATGTTAAGCTGGCGCGTTTGCACGAAATAGAAACTACTGATTTTCTCGTCGTTCTCGTCGTCGTATCATTGTCGTGTCATCGTGCGCGAGCACGCACGTGAGCGGTAAAAGAAAGAAAGGGAAGATAAGTCGCGTCCGTGAAAACGCTCATCGTGTCATCTTCGTGTTCTTTCGGTTCAGAGATTAGTGTGCTAGTAGGACGACCATATAATGTCTTGGCGAGACTGATCAAGACGCTGTCATTGTCGCATTATCGTCGTATCGTCGTCGTACGCGTCCGACGCGTGTGCGCATCATCATATGTACATGAATGTGCAATTTGTTACATCGCTTATCGGAACCGCGACATCTTGTTGGGCTGTTCAACACTGATCTTTCTACTATGACATAATAATTTTGTTGGGCTATTAAACTGAAGCTTAACGATGCTAAGGTCGATATGTATAGGACATCTGTGAAGATAATAAGATACATATAAGGTGTATCAACGTTTCTGTCTGACAGCGTCAGACAATTTTTCCATTAGAACAAGTAGAACAATAACCTAGAGTCACGTAACATTGACGAGGATCTTAAGTAAAAAACGACCAAGTATCGATTTCTGTGGAACTCGTAGAGTTCCACCGGGAGTCAGAGGTAAGGAACGTTTACTTATAATTTCGATAACTTCGGCAAGCACAATGAATTTAACGTAAACTTCTTGACGAAAATATAACATATCTGCATTTCAGAAAAGTCACTGTACGACGTCTTTTCTCTCATCACTTTATCTCCTATCTATCGCCTTCTTGTATTGTGGACGTGACAATGTGTCACATCCACTCGACTCGGTGTGGCACCGCTGAATAATCCACCGTCAATGCCAATTTCACTTTTCTTCACCTGCTGTTTTGCAGACGAATGTGAAAGGTGCCTGCGAGGTACAACGGTAATCCTCGATTAGAATTGCGCATGGAATATCCTGTCCGTGTTGATCTCCAGTCACTCGTACTCCGCCAGTGAATCTTCTCGCGCTTTACGCCGTGTCACGATTTCAGAAAGAAGCAAAATACTACCAAACCTACCTGTCGATTAGTCACACGAGAAATATTACACAAAGTTAGAAGGACTTGTCTTGCTTTTGCACAGCCGCACGTACAATTAGGGCGTTTTGTCTATAAGCACGTAGTCTCACTCAGGTCGCAAAGTATTATACCGATTGAATTTAAAAGATATTCGATATATTTCTTGATGGCTCGATAGAAGGTAAGACGAGAAATCCTTTGACAAGGATTTCTCTTGGAGTATTTAATCGAAGGATACCCTTCCAATGCTAGGTTCTCTTTAAAAAAAAAAAAAATTCGAAGATCCTACAAACAAAACTACTACAATTAAATCCTCCAAAAAAATTGAAAGATTAATCTACGTAATTAGATTTTCCAAAAAAATCAGTAGTTTTTAAATTTTAAATTCTCCACATAAGAAAAAAGGAAAAGAAAACGAAAAAAAGATTAATACGAAACATTAATACGAAATAAAACGAAGAATTCAAATGAAATGATTAAAAATAACATAACGATTTATAAATCTTTTTATATATTATATAGATCTAGCAAAGAGTTTCGGGAATGTAGCCGCCGTACCAATGAGAGGTAGAATCTCGAGGACAATTGCACATGATCATTAAAAAAAAACATCGGCTCAAGATCGTTGGAGAGTTTGTGACGATTCATACTGCAAGTTCGCCTCGATGAGCTTTGACTCGTCGCACCATGGCCGAGAGAAAAGACGAAAAGCATGAGCACGAGGAGAAAGAGGGTGAGAGTACGGCTATAAAGCGATCTAGTTTCGTCGAAACGCGCGTCGTACGCGTATCGCGCAGCAGTCAAACGAATATGACTAGTCTGCTACGACTAGTTCAGTGCATCAATATGAGGACTGGATCCGTACTGCAAGTAAATGATACGAGATCGTAGATACCGAAGTCTAGTGGGTGTACCGAAAAGAAATAGGGACGCTACTCTCGCCGGCCTTATCCGCCCCGAGCGCGGACCTCGGAAAATTCAATTACTATCGAGGAATAAAGTGCGGGAGGACATATCGTTGCGTTGACACTCGATCGCGAGGATGTGTGCTGTGTGTGATTAATTCATCTTCGTGAGATGTAACGCCCCGATAAAATTAAATTACGCTTACGCATGAAACATCGCGCGAAATTATTGACATCGATATTGCGCACGCGCGCGCGCGCGACGTTAAATTTTAGATCTGATATTTTAGATTTCTTCTACGCGGTGAAATTAGATAAAAGTTAAATGTGAAATGTAGAAAATGAAGAGCCGAGAGAAGACGCGAGTTAATTATTTGTGATTTGCAGTTGGCGTTGCTACTGGCGTTACTATTGGCTGGACCGTCAGAAGAGTTTTTCTTTGAGTAGTGAGTGCGACTCCTCTCTGTACTTCTCCTTCGCGTCGACGCTATTGAACGTTAAAATAAAACAAAAAGAAAAGTAATTAATCCTTAAACTGTTGCGATAAGCAATGCAAAGAAACGAACAGCTTTTTAGTAATTTTTAACATATAACATAATCTCTAAATTCTCATTTGCATTTGCAATCGTTCGTAAGGCATTCTCTCGCGCGTTTCAGTCCTAGGAAGGCATTGATGGAGTTCTTCCAGTCGTTGAAGACGAAGAAGCAACCGGCTAAAATGAACGTACAGCACTATCATGTACATTATTACCCGATGCCGGTCCCCCTGTTAGCTTGGACCGGAGCACCGGAGAAACGGGATCTAGACAAACTTTACAGGTATTTGATTATATATATATATATATATATATATATATCCTACAAACAAGTAGAAAGTTAAAACGCACTGCTCTACGGCACGTCGATTGCGTGTAATTTTATTTTCTCTCTTCAGCGATACCATCAGATCGTTCGGATGGGCTGATTACCAATATAAGTTTGCACCCGATCCCCTGCTGATCATATCGTCGCGATTACAACAGCTGTCAGACAATCCTAGTTCTTGGAATCAGGACATCCTAGGTGCTTTCAGATAATAAATTGATCAAATTATTGAATTTTCGTATTTGCAATAGTAATTAAAAGCAAAAGTAATGTGTAAAAGCAAGAAATTTCTTGTATGTACACACTACTGATTATGAAAGGAAATTTCTTCTTCTTTCTCTCAATTATCAAGAATGTTCCTTTCCTTCTTCTGCTTATTAAAACTAATTTCTTACAGAATCCGAGGATGTGCAAACATCTATCGATCGCAACATAAAAGGAATACTGCTGCAAGTTCCTGTCAATCAACAGATCGTGTTGAAGTTGTTGAAGAAATCGCGGAAGGAAGCGACGACCTAAGATCGTCTTTTACGTCTCAATCGGCGATCAACCTGACCTGTCGCATCGAAACCGCCTTAATTTTATAGGCTATGTAATATAAAACGAACATCTGAACGCTCGTCCGACATGCGAGTTTACCTTTGATCCATTTATTTATTACGAAAACGTGCTGAATATTAGACTTTCCAAAGTACACACACACACACACACGCATGCACCAGAGAAAGAGAGAGAGAGAGAGAGGGAGAGAGAGGGGGAGAGGGGGGGAGAGAGAGAGAGAGAGAGAGAGAGAGAGAGAGAGAGAGAGAGAGAGAGAGAGAGAGAGAGAGAGAGAGAGAACTTAAACATGGAATCTATTGAGCATCCATGAGATTCGTCTCAAGCTGCGAATCATTTGTCAACAAAAATCCCGGCAGTTGCTCGCATATTTTAGATGTCTCCGCGTGAAGTTTCGACGCGGCACACTGCTCTCGTGGCGATCGTCGACGCGGTTGAAGCGTCTCTCTGAATAACGATTTGGACAAAGTACTCAATTCCGGCACGATTAAAGCCGGCTTCAATTTCATCCGCTCGATCCGAACTCTCTGCCGCATCTCTTGATCTTCCTGCAACTTCGTGGCGAGTTGCGTCATGTATTCACGATCCGTTAATCGCACTACGTGACAGCCTATTACGGCAGTCAGTCGTGACATCACAGATGTGTAACTGATTCTGAATGAAATAACGTTCTTCAGAAATCGGCATAATATAGTCTTGTAACGTAAAATTACTCCTTTTTAGATCGCATCGTGAATTTCTTCTAGAGCGGGAAGCTCTAATATGGTATAACTCTATGTTTCAATTACACTTCATTATTATGATTTGTTACGATTGTGCTTCGACCCGACTATACTAACCCATATTTTACGCAATCCGCTTCCCACCACTTTGGAGGCGCGTCGTACGGATCCATAGTCGACGAAAGTGCCGTTTGTTCATCTATTTTTCTATTGAGAGATTCTCTCGATAAAGCAAAAAATTTCTAGTATAATTTAGCTTGCGACGCGAGAATGTTGAGCGACGTGCTCTCTCATTACTTGGATGATGCTGACGATCTTGTTGCATACGATCGATTAACGTCGCTGAAGTATTTCAGTCAACACGCGACTGTGATACTGTTCTACTGTGTTTTATTTATTCTTCTCGCAATTTTACCTCGAACCATTTCCAGCGACTTCAAGATACGCGCGTATCCGACACGTAATTGGCGTTGTGTCCGTGCGATGGCGATAGCGATGGCGATGGCCATGGCGATGGCCATGAATCCACACCATCGTCGAGCGGTCTCGTCCGCGGCACCGGCAATTGATCGATCGAATCCATCGAATTCCGGTAATGTCGGTATCGCAGATTCCGTTCGTTATCCGAGACAAATCAATATCAAATGGCCATCGAGATCGATCCGTCACATCACATCAATAATGCGAGCGACGGTCGCGTTACTAGTCGCGACCTAGTATATCACTAGCCGACCGACCGATGTTGACGGAGGTTTGTCGTTATCAGCAGTTCGGCGCCAGTCGTATGATATATATCGACGATATATTATCCCATATGTCCTCAATTCGCTTCGCGAGGGGACCTGTACCCCTAACTGCTGGCTCAGCGCTAACGCGTCGCTGTTGTTACGCCGTTCGTTGTTCGTCCTGTAATCGACTTGAAAGTAACGCGCGAATACGTTAATCACTGTGTTCACGAGCCGACATGCATCGGATACGCTTGTTCGACTTGGCCGCATCGACGAAGCTGCGACGAAGATTCAACATGCCGATGATCTATCACCGATCGATCGCCGGCCGAAATTCCCTCATCTACGGAGCAGTTGTTGCGACCGCTCGTAAGAATGGATCGCCTATTGTAGCATTGGAGTCGACGATCATCACGCACGGCATGCCTTATCCGGACAATCTGAACACCGCGCTCAGAATCGAGGACGCGATTAGAAAGCAAGTTCGTATAAAGTATAATGTTCGCCTCACATTCTTCGTGTCTGCACTTTCTACGTCGTCCTCGCGTCCTCCGCCGGCTCCGCCCCCTTCCCTTCCCTTTCTTTTTTCTCTTGTGGAAGCGTTTGTGCGCGTTTCGAGCGCGAAAAATGCGACGCGTATGAATGTACCGAGTGTGCTTCCTCCGTTACAAGAGCGACTTATGTTCCGTAATGGCAATCTTGTTACATATTGAACATACATAGCTGACGGGACTTCGTGTCCTTGAATTAATAATGCACTTGTACGTTCTCAGTAGTCCTGTGTTCCAATAATAAATAGACCTTTTATTATTAACCACCGACACTTCTTTCTGTCATTCTCATTACACGTCATGTTCCAAAATACGATACAATTTTCTTTCCGTACTATTTTTTTTATCACGGGGAGGTTGTCCAAGGAATGTGGAATTAATATTTCCTTGCTTAAAAATCAATGTAAGATCCATATTTTTAATTATTTAATACTTGCAAATTATAGAGGTAATGTTGAGAATTTATCAATTGTAATAGATTAACGGCGTCAATAGGCATCCGGCTCTCGTTTGTTTCAGGGTGTAGTACCGGCAACAATAGGAATCATTGATGGAAAGATATACATTGGCTTGAACAAGGGGCAATTGGAGGTCTTATCCAAAGCAGACCCTAGCAAGACTGTGAAATGTTCACGCAGGGATATCTCCGCTATTGTGTCATGTGCAATGAACGGTGGTACAACTGTCAGTGCTACAATGTTGATTGCACATGTAGCAGGTATCTCAATCATGGCAACAGGTGGTATCGGAGGTGTTCACAGAGGTGCTGAACTGTCTTGGGATGTTAGTACAGATTTAACTGAATTAGAACGTACACCAGTAGCAGTTGTCTGTTCTGGTGTGAAGTCTATCTTAGATGTAGAGAAAACTCTGGAGTACTTGGTAAGTGGGTGAGATTGCTTCCAATTTCTTTCTTCTTCTTCTTCTTTTTCTTTTCTTTTTTTTTTTTAATCAATTTATTAATGTTCATCATTTAATTCTCAAAAGTTGATATAGAAATGTGGCCTTTATGTATGCAGGAGACTCATGGAGTTCCAGTGGTGAAGATTGGAGAGACATTGGACTTCCCAGCGTTTTACTGCTTGAAAACCTTGAACGAAGTGAAAGCACCGTGCCGAGTTTCCAACGCCGAGGAAGCGGCGGATATCGTGCAGACGCAGAGAACACTGGGCATTAACACCGGGATTTTATTCGCGGTGCCGATTCCCCACGAATACGCATTGGACCCCACAGTCATGGATGTCGCCATACGCGAGGCCTTGAAGAAGGCCAATGAGGCGCGCGTAACCGGCAAGCAGGTTACGCCGTTTCTTTTAAGCCAGCTCAATGAGATCACGCACGGACAGTCCTTGGGAGCGAGTGAGTATAAAAAAACTAATTAAAATCGCTGTGTGCAGAAACGTCCGTCCTGATTGCACCATCGCGCATACGTTCCAAACGCTTTTCACGCTTCTCTGTGTTCACGAATTCTACAGATGTAGCTCTCGTGGAGAATAACGCTAAGGTCGCTGCCGAGATCGCTTTGAGACTCTGCAAGAGAACGTCTCAGAGTGCACCATCGAGCACGGCGGCCTCCGCCGCCGCGTCAGTGCGATCGATCATATGCAAGCAAAAACCGGTAAGTACGAGAGAAAATATAGAACCGCCTTTCTTGAAGCAAAAGAGGCACACTTAGAAAATGTCAACCATACGGAAGAGTCATTTTATATCTACGTACTTATCGTCGTCGGTGCTCAAAACTGATGCACATACTTTAAGTGTGCATGTGTACAAACAGATATAATATGATAAAAAAGATATATCTTCGTTTATATATAGGTAATAATCGGCGGCGCTGTTCTCGACACCGTACTGCAAGTGAGGGAATCTGAAATAAGCGTAAGTCAAGAATCTCACAGTCAGAGTTATACTAAATAACCAATTTTCCTTGTATTTATATTACGTAATAATTATAGAACAGTAACAGTATTTATATACAATTACACCACAGTGATCTCTCCTCTCTTTATTCTCTTTGTCTTTGTTCCTTTTTTTCTTTTCTGTTGTTTCTTGTCGCTTATGTACACTTAATAATATATCAAATAATGGAAACTTGTAGAGAGTATAGAGAAAAGTACGCGGGAAGAGGTGAAGAGGGAGGGGAGGGGGGAGGGGAGAAAGTGGGTACATTACCAAACGTTGTATAGAATAGTAAACCTATGAAATATACAGCCGTCTCAACGTCTCGTTCACGTCTCGTTCACGTCTCGTTCACGTGCGACACAAGTATATGGGCGTACCTAACTTGATTAAATTACAGACGCAAGCTTTGTCTGCACGATATTTTACATAAGGTCATCAACGTAAGATGCATTCTTGAGCGTTCTCTCTCTCTCTCTCTCTCTCTCCCCCTCCCCCTCCCTCCCTCCCTCCCCCCTCTCTTTCTCCCCTTTTCTCATTTTTCCACTGTCGACTGTAGTAATTTGCATTTAGTTCAACTACTAACAGTCTTCAGATATACTCGTTTTGTCGTGTCGTCATCTTTATACAATATTAAAATAATCAAAGCCTTTATAGGTGTGCATATATTTCTTTTTTTTTTTCTTTTTCTGCACTAGTATATCGCGCTACGATCACGCGCTATGAAATTGTCTCATGTCGTGACATTACACGCGCCGCGCGGAAACACCTCAGATTCGGTCGATGAAAATGGTCAAATAGGAAGCTGATACTTGGTGCATATGTGTTACATGTATGTATGTGGGAAGGGAGAAGGGAGAGGGTACGCTGTATCTTCAAATCAAATCGCGTTCAATCGCTCTGTTGTTGACTGTAACATCTACATCTAGCGTGGTATCTACGTGGATTTTTTCCAATAGTTGCTCGTTATATATAATATAGAAAAATCGACTAGGGACTGTATAAATACTCATATCCTTTTTTCTGATGATAGGTATGTGTGTTTTCTTGCTCTTTTCCTCTTGCTTTAAAATCATATTCTTTACGTTTGCCATTTCCCGCTGAGCGATTTGCCAATATTGTTATATATTGAATGACACGATCGTAGATGGAGTCAGATTGTTCCGAATATCGCCGACCGTGCGCGAGTTACACTCGATTACTCTATGAATATTTAGGAGAATCGTTCCAAATTGAGTGAGTAGGACTATCTTCCATGAAACGGGTTGCCTGCAAAGGTTCTCGCCTCGCTCGAGACGCAGGCGCTCAATGTATTGGAAGCTCGCGTCTGACGTGCAATGTCACGAAATGTTTAAATTGTTTCGACCGTACCTATATAAATTGTTTGAGATATAATAAATTAGGTATTTAAGCAGGCACTATTCAAAGCTCCCTGTCTCATCCGCTTCTCTTCAAGTAACATATGTATATATGTGTATATATATATATATATATTACATTTAGATACCGATCAAGTTACAAATCACTACGCGTTTGAACTTCGAAGTCTCTTACGGTGGAGTTTGTATTAACATCATCAGGAGATATATTTCGCTCAAATAAAATTGTGTGTGTGTGCGGGGGGGTATGGGTGTAGTGTGAAGGTCTAAAATCTTTCGTCGTTCTTTTTTTATCCCTTTTTCTTTTAATAGAGGTAATATACACGACAACTGAAGCGGAATTTAGTTTATCCTCATTCGACCATGAGTGTTGGTATTAATTTCCTATTAGATTCCTCTCTTCTCCTCCTCCTCTCGCTCGTTCTTTTCATGAACGTATCTTTCTCTGGACTAATGAATAAAAAACGATTAGTATCTATCTCCTGTATTTAACATCTTTATATACACTTAATGGCAGAGGCTGTATGTCTGCGAGGTGTAAGCTTCGACATTATTATTAGCTTATTACATTCAACAATGATTCGACGGTCTGATTAAGAAAGAACGGTCGGACTTTGGTGTGACATTTTACACGAAGAAAGAGACAAAAGAAAAACAAACGGGAAAGAAGAATATCTCCTTTCTCGAGGAGAGGAAGAAAACGACATTAATGAAAAAAGCAGTTTCTAAGAACATCGCGAGATTATCTTCTGTATGATGAATCAATAATTACCCTGTTGTCCAGACTACAAGTGATTACAAGGTCGAATCGATGATAACTGCGCATCTCCGCGATGTATCTTTATCGTGTAATCCGTTTGTAACGCAACGATAGAAATCTCGTCAGGGAAACATTGCTCTTGAGCGAATGTGCTCGGCCTATTCGCCAAATCAATGTAACGATTCATCGAGCAACGACTCTCTATCGTCGCGACTCCAGCGATCAGTTTCTTAAAAATGCAACGCGGATAATTGTCGTTAACACGCGCTTTCGTACGTTCGCGAAAATTCAAGTACCGGGCCACGAGGTGCGCGCGTTTAAATTCGAACGGAAATTGCGACGGAACAAAAGTCAGTTAATGTCTGAGGAGGCGCGCGCGCGCGCGCGTGTGTGTGTGTATGTATGTGTGTGTGTATGCGTGTGTGTGTGGACTTGTGAGTGGTGTACCTTTGGCTCGTAGTGGATAATTCAGCGGACATCTGGACTCGATGTGTCTCGGTTTCTCCTTAAGCAGACGATCGACGCTTTTAATTTATTATATATTATATGCCGGTATGTACAGCCTACTGTAGTATTTGTATTCGTTATCATATTGCATCCCCATTTAACGTATCAACCCCGAAGGTCTCTCTTTTAATTCTATCTAGGAAGCCAATTATTCTTGAGTATTACGTCGTTACGTCGTTTGTAAACGACGGATGGCTATCGGTGTCGGGAGTGCAGGGAGACAGGCAAATCTCAGGGCGGCACGTCTTTGAGGATGGCGAGAGGACGAAATTAAATGCTGAGAACTTGGGGAAAATGCGAGAAAAAGGAAAATGAATAGGTCGAAATGGTGCAACGACGAAATGTACGGTGCTCCTTTTCGCACTGCCTCCGCCGCAACTACGTACGATCAACGAGAATTTCAGGATTTACGACGAACAAATCAAGTACGTACAAGCTACTCGCGTGTCGCGCATCTTTCTGACATAATAATACGTTTATATGTAAAAAAAGATTGGAAATTGTTAATTAAGTTATCTAAGTCGAAGTACCTCTCTCTCTCTCTCTCTCTCTCTCTCTCTCTCTCTCTCTCTCTCTCTCTCTCTCTCTCTCTCTCTCTGTTTCTCACACGTTCTCTTTTGCTCTTACTCCTTCCTTCGTTCACCGTCACGTTTTTAACAAAGAAAGTAAATGGATAATCTTTGCTTCTCAGGGATGACTTGTCGAAGCAGATATACACATTCCTTTCGCGGTGCTGATAGACAGAATAAGGAGACGAAGAGCAAGAGAGGATCGATTTGGCAGTAGTATCTCACAATGATCTCCCGTAACTATCGTGATAATTATCCTTGTATACAGAGATCTCGTTCGTTAAATGGTACTTTTTCGACGGAATTTACTGCACGATCGCAGGAGATGAAAGGAGGTTTCGAGTAGTTCTTTTTCTTTATGGTAGTGACGGTGACATATAGTGATAGTGATAATGATAGTAGTAGTAGTAGTAGTGGTAGTAGTTGGTCGGCAGATATGGTCAATGCTTCCGCAAACCACTCGTACGGTCAGACAGGAATAGCCATTCGCCTGCATTATTGAGAGTACCCCGAGCGTATAGAGTCGTTTGGCGGAGATATAGCTCCGAAAGTTTACATTAACGAACGAAAGTTACGATAGCGAGTCTGGAACCGCGTCGGTGGGAGGCGGCATCTTTTCCTCTAGGGAGAGCCGATTGATGAAATTCTCGATCCGTATATTCTTCTCTCTCTCTCTCTCTCTCTCTCTCTCTCTCTCTCTCTCTCTCTCTCTCTCTCTCTCTCTCTCTCTCTCTCTCTCCCTCCCTCCCTCCCTCCCTCCCTCCCTCCCTCCCTCCCTCCCTCTCTCTCTCTCTCTCTCTCTCTCTCTCTCTCTCTCTCTCTCTCTCTCTCTCTCTCTCTCTCTCTCTCTCTCTCTCTCTCTCTCTCTCTCTCTCTCTCTCTCTCTCTCATTTACGGAATTTATTTCGATAGCGGTATGTAATTGATTGATCGAACGGATTTATTGACGTGAGGTCTTCGTATTGTAGACAGAACGTAACGAGATAATTGATTGCTGATGCGCAAAAGCCGATCAAAGACGACTTTGATCGGTCGTTGAGGAGAGAAGCGCCGAGCGCTCTTGTCCCGCATGCTACCACGGTAACGAGAGTTACACTCGACTACTTGGTAAAGTAACACACTACCAACGAGAGAGACTCGAGCGCGTCACTTCCGCGCACGAGAGAAGAAAATGATATGCGGCGATGTTTCCTCTCATCGATGATGCGATCGATACGTGTCTTGTTCGGGAGAGAAGAACGCGCGCGCGTGGTATGTATAAGAAATTCTTACGGTTAGAAATAAATCTACAAAAGTAGTTTTCACCGACCATGCAAGGACGGATAGATACACATGAGGCGCGCGCACTCGCTGCTCGAGGGAGAGAGAGTTCGAGGGTCTTGCGACGTAACGAGCAACTCGCGATTTTAATCTCAGACGCGCATGCTTTCGCTCCCTTATGAGCACGGCATAAGTTGATGAAGGGACAATGCGGTCTATAATAAAGATAAGCGAGAGAGAGAGAGAGAGAGAGAGAGAGAGAGAGAGAGAGAGAGAGAGAGAGAGAGAGAGAGAGAGAGAGAGAGAGAGAGAGAGAGAGAGAGAGAGAGAGAGAGAGAAGAAAGTTTCTGCTATAATTATTTAAAATTAGCATATACGCCTGCAGTGTGTTGGCGACTAACGTCGACGATGACGAAATTAGTATGACTGGCGCTATTAGTATTACGTGCCGCAAATAGAACGCGCTTTCTCGACTATGCTTCGCTATGCGAGTTGCTCGTCACA